TTGGTTCTCTGGCTGGCCAGAACGAAGTTGCCCAGATATTTATCTAAACCGTTTGGTGGTCAAAATGTGCCACTAATAGTCGAGAAATTTTATCTAGACAAGGAAACCTGGGGGGGGGGCGATTTTAGGTAGTCAACGATGCTGGCTCGGCTTCCCAACCTCCAGGTAGATTCCACGTTCGACTTGGAGGAGATGGACCCCCTCCAGGGGCCGAAGAGGAAGCTCGCAACCGTTGACGGAGATATCCAGGAGGGGCAAAGCCAGAACATCCAGAAGGCGTGGCTCGAGCGCCACGTCAACTCTTCTGCGAAGGCGACGTATCGGCCCATGGCGAAGCGCAGGGTCGGCGCGAAGCACTGGATCATGAACATAGATAACCAGCTGCGCGTCTCTACGGAGACTGGCGGGTTGAATTACTTCCAGCGCGACGAGAAGGGTAACGGATTATGGGCCCACTGGGCTAGTTGGCCCTACTTGAACACCTCGATGGACTTGGGGCCGAAGGGCCTGTCAGGGTTCAACGCCTTGGAGAGGCTCTTCAAGCTAGCGTCGACATGAGGCCAGACCATGCGCACGGTTGCAACAGGGACTTCGACATGGCCATCGCCACGGTTGGATGGAAGAACTTCTGGGTGCTCATGTTGGTGGTGTGGAACTGCGAGTTCGGGCCCGACAGGGATCGCATGAGGAAGCGCCAGCTCTCGGAGGCTTTGGAGGTTGGGACCTTCAAGCACGCATCGTGGCCCACCCGACAGGGGAGGATGATCGAGGTTTTAGGCACCTCAGTGTTTTCGAGGGGGAGACGTCCAGTCTCACGACTTTTCGGCCTTTGAAAAAGGCAACAAAAGATGCTCGGGCAAATTTTGAAAATTTGCTTGAGCTTTTTTCGTTGCCTTTTTTTCAGGCTGTGGATTATGGTGCCCTGGGCGCTGCGCTAGCAGAACGCGCGGACGTTTGCGGCCCTGGGGACCTTGGGGGAGAGGAGGGGGGCTTGGGGACCTCGGGCGTTTCGGTCGGGTGGGCAGCTTTGCGTGCTTGTTAGTTCATGGGCTTGCTTGGGCACGGCGACGCCCGCTACATGCCCTCTCTTCCTGGCCCACAGCGCGGGCTTGAAGGCTGCCTTCAAGGCCCTGGGGCACAACTGCGTCGACGGCATTTCGGAGGGCGAGCAGACCTGGAAGATGTTGGTAGACGGCGTCTGGAAGCCGACTGGTGACATGAGATGCAATCTGAACCGATTCATGGGCACGCTCCACACCGCAGTTTTCCGCCTCCCGAGATGGGAGATCGACCGCTTCGCGAGGTGTCTGCTGGCCCTGGAGATGGACATGCTGAAGGGGAAGAAGGTTGCCGCCAAGCTGAAGGTCAAGGCGTCGCACGCCGTCGCTGTGATGGAAGGTGGCGCCAGCACCAGCGACGCCAAGATCACAGTCGAAGATCGGGCGAGCATGGCCTTTGCACAGAACTCAGTCGTCTCTTCTGTAGTGATGTTGGAGAACAACGACAACAAGAGGAATGTGCAGATCGTTGCTTCTTCGGCGAAGCCTATCATGCAGTGGCATACGGACCAAACTCGAACTCTTCGTTGCGCGGACAAAACGCAGCAGTGGGTGGAGGAGCAGATAGGCGGCGCTTTGATGGCACACGTGCTCTCACCTCTAAAAGCTGTTAAGCGTCCAGTGATGGCGGCAGGTTGCCAGTTTGTCGTGGTGAAGGCAGACGCGTTGCGAGTGCCACGAGTGCGGTTGCGAGAACGATTTCGCCGACCTGCTTGGCCAGATGACATTGACCTTGATGTCGTGCAGGCTCAGGCGCACCATGCACATGTCACGCGGGATCCCTTTCCAGATGTTGGAGGCCCTGATGGTCGACGTCGGGCCAGTGCGGAATGTGCTTCAGCGGTTCCAGGAGGATGTCGAGAGGTTCGAGAATCTGGAGGCGTTCGAGGGCAAGACGCCAGCGATGACCGAAGTGTTCAAGAGGCACTACTTCCACAATACCTCCCTCCAGCAGCTCATCCTGGGCTGCGAGGGTTCTCGGGCTATCCTGGGGAACCATTTTTTTTTTGTGCCTGGCCCTGTCGGGCCTACTGGTGAGGCCGGTGCCGGCATTGGGGGTGGAAGTTGGGTCCCGAGGGGAGGGGTCGCCCAGTCGTTTTTCCTGGGGCCGCTTCCTCAGGAGTTCAAGTTCACGAAGAATGACCAGCTCGTCGGGGTTCTCAGGCCGAGGGCGAGGCTCATTTTGCAGACTCAGATCGTCGAGGGCCTGATCGGAACTCAGAAGAACACGAAGTTGACGATGGCCCAGAAGAAGTTCAGAAAACCAGAGGCCTCGATGGGAACCGTCCTCAAGAAGAACGTGCTGTCGGATGGCAAGCACCTTCGCGATGCCGTCTCGACGGACTTGCCCTTGGACTCCAAGACGAGTCGGCTGCCCCCTGATGTTTTCAAGGCAATGCCCTGCGAAAGATCGTTGAGTGCCAACCTTTGCGGTGACTCATTCGGCCTCCGCGAGTTGGTGGTCACCAGGCCCCAGCAACCACATCACGCCGATCGTGGACTTGCAGCTGCTGCAAGATGCGGTGTCTTATGGGGGGTGGCTTCCAGGCCGTGGAGAAGTGTTGGGTCGGGGAACTCGTTGACGTCAGCCACGAGATCATCTTCCGCATCAACGGCGTTCATGGCCCAAGGGAGTGGTTCATCGGGCTCTCCTACTTCGCTGACTCCGCTTGCTTGGCATGGCCTTGCACGCTGAAGACCGTCAAAGGGAATAACAGGGCCACTGACAAGTACATCGTTTTTGACGCAGACGTCGACGAGCCCGGGTTGATCAGCCTGTTCGCCCCAGAGAATGTAGTGGCATGCAGCTTCGAGTGGAAGAGTTACCCGTGGCAGATGCACACGTGCAGGCGCGCGCATGATGAGGAGCTCGACGGTTTGGCTGTGAACAGGGCTTTCATCACCGACGGGCCTTCCCCTCTGCTGGAGGTGGCAGCTCGCGAGGCTTCCTGGAAGTTGAAGGCTACGTTCCTCGCGAACTTGGGCAGGGCCTTCCTTGATGGCATCGACGTCACGTCTGCAGGCATGTGCAGCCTCCTGGTGATGCTCATCAAGCGCGTGCTCGGGGTTTCGGATGCACAGGCGGTGAAGATCGTGAGCCAGAGGCTCTCGGAGAAAGACGCCACCTTAGGCTACGCTCAGCAGTTGTTGGACTTGGGCGAGGCCCTGGACTGCCTTGACAAGAACGGCGCTCAGAAGGTTAACCATGAAAAGGAGCAGGCGCATAAGCATATCGTGGATCGGGGCGCCATTGCCAGAGGCTACATCGTCATGAAGCAGAGGATCGACGACGCTGCGATGGCGAAGGCCAAGCCAAAGGCTAAGGCCAAGCCAGTTGCGCGTCGCGCAGTGGATCTCCAGGAGTCCACCCACCATCACCAGGTGACGCAGCACTTGCCGCCAGGGGGGGGGGGGGGGCATCTGGAAGAAGAAAGTGTTCCCGCCGGGCTGGGGTGGCCACATGCCGCCCAGGGCGAGGATCTCGGAGCCTTGGAACGGGGATGAGGCCAAGTCGTGTCAGATCTTGCTGAGCAGGCTCTGATAGCAGTTTTTGGAGATCAGCGCAAAGGGCGCGTCCGAGTGCCCGTGGGACTTCGGCAATCTCTAGGTGCATCGGGTTCTTGGCCAATCGAGGGCGGTCGACTCGACGACCCTGGCCGACTCGATGATCTTGGCGCGCTGATCTGGCTGGTTTGGACACCGCCAGTTGGCGGTGCTCGGGCGCGTGCCGCGCCGGGCGCCACGGCGCCAGGAGAGGCCCCAGCTGGGGCAAGACGCGAGCGAGGAGGCTGGGGGAGGCCCCTCGGTTTGATAACATCGACCAAGTCCCCACCCATTGTCATCCATTCATCTCCGTTCATGCTGCGGTCTTGCCGTTGATGTAATGTGTTGCGCCATTCTTGTCTATGCCTTGTATTCCGTGGGCTGATCGTCATCTCCGCCGCCTGCTTCCGAACTATTCCATGGGCTGATCGCAACTTCCGCCGACGAGGGGGCGCGGGGCGCGGGGGGGGGAGGCTTGGGCGGGCGACGGAGTGAGAAGGCCAGGTGTGTGTGTGTGTGTGTGTGCGTGTGCGTGTGCGTGTGCGTGTGTGTGTGTGTGTGTGTGTGGAGGGTTATGGGGGGGTAGCCGAGTCTTCGTGCCGTCTCCTCCTCCTCCCCCTTATATCCTCTTCCTTTTGCTGTTGCTGTTGCTGTTCTTCCTCCTTCCCATCCGCGGCCCTCCTTCTTCCCGTTCGTAGTGCTCCTTTCCCTTCGCCCCATGTGTCATCGTATGCGCTGTCCTCCTCCTCCTCCTCCCCCCCCCCCCTTTCCTTCCTCCCCTTGGGCTGCAGAGGAGGGGGGGGGGGGGCCGGGGGGGGGGGCGTCGACAGCGGCAGCCCAGAGACCACCAACAACGCAGAGGGCGAACATTCAGTGCAGAACGGCCGTTTTGCACTGAATTTCCCCCTCCTTGGTTAAAGGGGGCTGGAAAGCACTTGGGGGGCTCGTTTCGGTCAGAGCTGGCCCCGCGAACGTTCTGCTTTGGTCGCCCCTCGCCCTTCATTGTTTTGCCCTCCCCAACCGAACAGGCGACGCGCGCTGGCCTCCTCACTCCGCCGCAGAGGGGGCCCCGTCCACCGCGCTGATGGGCCCGCGAGGGCGCCGAGGGGGCCCTCGCGGGTCTCAGAGGGGGCCTCGCTGAGGCCAGTTTCGGGTTCTTTGGGGGCCCTGTGGTGCCCAGTTTCAATCGCTCGCGCTTTCGCGAGCCGTCATGTTGCAGTGAGTTAAGTAATGCATGAAATGCAGCAGGTAGTATATATAATTTCCGTGAAAACGTTCAGTGGTCAAAATATTGCACCCCAGCAGTGGGGGGTCATTGCGTGGTTCAAGAGCCCGCGCGCGAGCGCAGTCCTGAAGCCACTCGACATGACCGAAGTGTTTGCAACTCCGCTTCGCTTGATGCAGATCCAATGCGACCTCAGCCCGTTGGCCGCTGAGGCCCAGATGCTGGACCAGGTGCCCCTCGCCTGTCGTGAGCCAGAGGCGACCAAGATATTCACCCAGTACAAATCAACCATTGCTCCGTCCTCGGCGTACTCCGCTCTTTCCAACCTTCTAGGGGGCGTGCGAGACATTGGCGTGGCTGCGGAGCTTCTGTCGGTGGGTCCGAAGGAAGTGTGCCTGACCTGGCAGGCCCGGCGAGAGCAGGAAGCAACGGAAGTAGAAATCCTGCGTGACTGGGAAGTGAAGCGCACGTCTGGCATGCAGCTCCCGTCCTACGTTCGGCTTATGCATCCGGGCAAGCTGCTCAGGCTCCATCTCCAAGACCATCAGACAATTTGGGTGGCGCTTCGTGTTGTTGAGACGATGGCCAACGAGCCGATTTCCTCTCCTTCTGAGTATGCCAACAGCCTGATGAGGATAACGGGAGAGGCCCTGTCGGCACCAGTCATGGTCCAAGGATGACCGGTCAGGGTGCTCCATCCGCCGACTCTCGAGGAGTTCGTCCGGAGCTATGCGCTCACGCTAGTAGAGGTGCTTGCATTCCTTCGCCCGGATGTCACTGATTCCTGGCTACGGCACAGGAGGGCCTTTCAGTCCAGGGTTGCGGTGCTCCGTGGCTCAGTCCTCACGGGCGACTACGACAACGTCCGGCAGTTGCCCGAGGTGGTGAGTCGAGGGGCCAAATTCACTGGATCATTGGCACGGGCTCATGGATCCATCAAGGCTGCCACCATTGCTTCGATCTGCGGAGGGAACGCCACCCTTGAGCGCGGCCTTGCTGAGGCCCGATCCAATGTCTGGGTGTTCACGAGGCGCGTTGCCCAGATGCCCGCCTGTCCGGGCCTTCGCGTGGTCCCGCGCCACTCTGCGGAGGCAGACCTGGTTGAGCCGACGTGCCCGTCAGAAGTCCTCCTCTTTGATGTGGTTTGGAGGTGGGCTTGCGAGGAGTTCGAAGGGCCAGTGAGAGTCGTCGAGAAGGCAGGGCGAGGGGGTTACCAGTGGGTGATCTTCGCACCAGTGATCAGCTGCCACCTGCGGCACCTATTCGGCGGCCATGAAGTTATCGAAGAGAAGGTGGCTGCGTACGGGTTCAAGTTCGCGGCAGTGCGGGCGACCAGCAGCGGCGCGCGGACTCCAGGCAACAAATGCGGCATTCCGGCCGAGCACATTGGCCTGATTTACGTCCATCGGTGCCAGCATTGCAGACGGCCATCTGCTCATGCGCATCCAGGAGGTGGCGACCCGCACAGGCGTGCTATCCGTTGCCCCTGGCCGGACTGTCTGGCACGCCCCGCGCCGGATCCGAACGCCCCAATCGTCCCGGGCCCGCAGCTCGAGACCGCTGACGAGGACTTGACAATTTGAGCGACTCGCTTACGATGCATGCATGATCGAACCTGTGGCATGAGAATGGGTGAATTGAAAAAAAAAGAAAAGTAGTAATGTGCGTGATGCTATTACTAGTTTATACTACGAACACCAGTAATACTAGTACTAATCTCACGACTATTCATAACATAGTAAGGAACAGTATTAGTACTAAGAAGACCCGTTGTATAATAATACAGAATAAGCATATTAACTTAATAGTATCAGACATACTAGTAATATGCAGCCCACGACTAGTATAGTATCTTAAAAGCATCTGAGCCGCGTACACTAATCGCATAGTCGTATTAATAAAATCGTACAATCGCTGTAGACTGCACCGCACGATAGCGGTTCATACTTCGTAATGTTATATTGTTATAGATGTACTAAGAATAGTATAGCAATGAGCATGGCAATATTAGTTTTGGTAATCAAAACAAAAACGTAATATTACTAATGCGATTCATAAGCAGCATTATTAACATAGTAACGATAATACTACTAACCGTATTATTTGCTGCTAACTGTATTATTCGTGATGGTTTTACTTCTGATACTACTACTCGTACTAACACGAATGCTACTCTTACTATACTACTACTACTAGTACTACTACTACTACTACTACTACTACTACTACTACTACTACTACTATTACTACTACTCCTGCTACAACTACTACTACTCGTCACTCGATCGGTTTCACTATCGATCTCACTATCGATCTCACTATCGGTCTCGCTCGACCGACCTCACTCGATCGATCTCACAATCGATCTCCACCATCATCATCGTCACCATCATCATCACCATCATCATCATCATCATCATCATCGGGGCACCATCATCCTGAGCATCGGGATCATCATCATCATCGGGCAATCACCATCAAAACCAGCATCATCACCTCATCATCATCCACTCCATCAACTTCAGAATCATCATCGGGACACCATCATCGTCATCATCACCATGAACATCATCATCATCGGGACACCATCATCATCACCATCATCTTCATCAACAACATCACCAATTACGTCATCATCATCATCGTCGGGACACCATCGTCATTATCATTTTAATCATCATCATCTGCATCATCACCATTTCACCATCATCATCATCACCTCATCATCGTCATCAGCAGCACCATTATCATCACGGCCATCATCGAGACACCATCATGGCCATCATCATCATCAACACCGTCATCATCATCGGGACACCATCATCACCATCATATCAACATCATGATCCGGAATATCATCATCACCGTCATCATCGGGACATCGTCATCATCATCTTCATTATCATCATCTCATCATTACCGCATTATCTCTAACATCGTCATGATCACTAACATCATTATCATTGCGTCACCACCATCACCATTATCATCATAATCATCAACATCGTCATCAGCATCGTTACCATCATCGGGACACCATCATCACCACCATCACCATCAACATCATCATCATCATCATCATCACCATCAACACCATCGACATCATCATCAGCAACAGCAGCAGCATCATCATCATCATCATCATCATCATCGGGACACCGACGGGGCACCGGCGGGACACCGGCGGGACACCGCGCGAAATGAAACATTTGGTCCGGCCGCGCCCCAGCCGGAGGCGGGACACTGGCGGGACACCGCGCCCCACCGGCCCCCCGGAATGGAAACACTTGGTCCGGCCGCGCCTCAGCCGGAGGAGATTTCCTTCTCGCCTACCCACGCAGCTTCGCCTCGCCCGCACGCGCGGCACGCACGAACACGAAACCGAAACCGATTTTCCGGTAGGGGGGCTCTCCGTTCCACTTCGATCTCACCCCCCCACTGCCGAGTATTCCTCATGGTATCCATAGTAATCATACCACTATGAATAAACATACGTAAACAGAAGCATGAGCAACATACTAATAATACTACTAGGAGGAAGAGGAGGAGGAGGAGGAGGAGGAGGAGGAGGAGGAGGAGGAGGAGGAGGAGGAGGAGGAGGAGGAGGAGGAGGAGGAGGAGGAGGAGGAGGAGGAGGAGGAGGAGGAGGAGGAGGAGGAGGAGGAGGAGGAGAGGAGGAGGAGGAGGAGGAGGAGGAGGAGGGAGGAGGAGGAGGAGGAGGAGGAGGGGGAGGAGAGGAGGAGGAGGAGGAGGGAGGAGGGGGAGGAGGAGGAGGAGGAGGAGGAGGAGGAGGAGGAGGAGGAGGAGGAGGAGGAGGAGGAGGAGGAGGAGGAGGAGGAGGAGGAGGAGGAGGAGGAGGAGGAGGAGGAGGAGGAGGAGGGAGGAGGAGGAGGAGGGAGGAGGAGGAGGAGAGGAGGAGGAGGAGGGAGATGCGGAAAGGAGCAGGAGGAGGAGGAGGAGGAGGAGGAGGAGGAGGAGGAGGAGGAGGAGGAGGAGGAGGAGGAGGAGGGAGGAGGAGGAGGAGGAGAGGAGGAGGCGGAGGAGGAGGAGGAGGAGGAGGAGGAGGAGGGGAGGAGGAGGAGGAGGAGGAAGAGGAGAAGGAGGAGGAGGAGGAGGAGGAGGAGGAGGAGGAGGAGTGGAGGAGGAGGAGGAGGAGGAGGAGGAGGAGCGGAGAGGGAAGAGGGGGCGGAGGAGGAGGGAGAGCACGAAGATGGGACAGGGGCGGGGGCGGGACTGGGGACGGGGGCGACGACGGGGCCAATAGTAGAGAGAGAAGGAGAGAGGGAATAGGGGTGGGGGGGCGCTGGCCGCTGCCGGCGGCCCGCTCTGCCCGTCTCTCCCCGCCCCCCCGCGGCAGGTCCGCCTCCGCCCCCGCCCCAGAGCAGCAGGCGGGGCCCCGCTTGGGCGGCCGTTCCGAGGGCAAGCGGTGGCGCAGGGCTGGCAGAGGGCATCTGCACACGGCAGGTTCGTGCCGTGTCCACTCACCGAGCGCGTTCCATTACTCGCAAAGTGCTTACTCGCAAACGTCCGAAAAAAAACATTCATATGTTTGCGTCTATGTAATGGATCGTGAATCCCCCTGGGCGGATCCAGGCCATTTGCGAGCAATTTCCTTGCGAGTAGTGGAACGCGCTTGTCTATCGACGCGGCGGCGGCCCCAGCACGGGCGCTCAGGGTTGAACGCTGCCAGTGGCCCAGGATCGTAGAGGTATCGAACGATCTGCGATGTCGGAAAGCCAAGATTGTTCAATGCTGAGCGATCGATGCAGCGTCGGAAACCAGCGCCGACATCGTCACGGCGCGAATTTGCCGTGCACCACCACCGTGCCCAGCCATGGCCATCTTGGGCGCTAGGATGTTGTAAAGAACCTCCTGGTCCAGGGTGTGCGCGCTTGCCTCTCGTTGCAGTCGCGCATGTCCAGCATGGGCGCATACTATGTCTTACTAAGCCCTCGGTATATAACGACCGGGGTGATGCGCCCGCCGAGTGGTCCCGGGGTGCCCACGCGCGCTCTGGATTTGGAGGCAAATTGTATTTTGCTTGCGCGCAACTTGTGCGCAACAAGCAGCATGCTTGTACCCCCGCCGTCCCTGTCAAGCACCAATGCAGAGTGGTCGCGGGACGCCCGGGCGTGCTCGAGATTTGGAGGTAGAGTGCATTTTGTATGGTTGTTTCGACAGGGATGGTGTGGGGGGCATGTCTCGGGTTGGCCCACAGTCGGGTGGGGGAGGAGGTGTTCATTGATAAGGACCAGTAATCAAGACACCCTCCCCGCCCGCAAGCCGTCTTGCTCATTCCAACCCGCCCTCCCCGCACATAAGTAGCACCCGAGCCGCAGCGTGTTCAGCGGTAGTCTCTTGATGGACAGCTAACCAGAACCAACACATGACCCATGTGCGCAACGCGGGGGCGAGGTGCGCCACGCGTGCCAGGCGCGCCACGCGGGCCAGGTGTGCCAGGCACTCTTGTGGCCCAAGCATGCCGGGACGTCTAGTGCGCCAGATGCGCCACGTGATCCACGTTCGCCATGTGTGCCGCATGCTCCAGCCGCGCAAGGTGTGCAACGTTCGGGGCACGCGCAGAGCGTACCAGGTGTGCCTGCGCACGTGGCAGTACACATCGGGAAACGTGTCGGCCCCCACCACCCTTGTCGAAAACCAGTGCGCAATCGCGGCGGGGTGGCCATCACAGCGTCTGGTTGGCCTGCACATAGCAGGCAATATGCCAGCACCCCGGCCGTCCCAGTCAAGAACCAATGTGCAGTGATCGCGTGGTGCTCGCGCATGATCCAGATTTTGCCTCGATGTGCATTTTGTATTGTTTTTGCTAAGGATGCTGGCCCTGCGTGCAGCAGGCAATGTGCGGCACCCCCGCCTTCACCCGCCTTCCCGATACAACGCTATCGCGCCTATCCCGATTATGACTCAAGATTTTGCCCCTAAGTGGACTTCACTTTGTTTTTTTTGACAGGGGTGGTGAGGGGGGGGTCTCATTGGTCCTGGTTGGCTGCCGGTCGTCTGGGGCAGGGGGTGTTTATTAAGAGAGAGCGGTGATACACCCCTCCCCGAAGTGGAATAGGGAAGATGGAAGAGGAAGCTCGCTAAACCACTCACGCCCTAAAGGGATGGTGGGATTTTGTGCACTCAGGATGTGGAGGCTGTGTGATGCAAGCCACGCTGCGCAATCTACGTGGTGCAAGCTGTGTAGAGCTTCCTGTGGAAATTGCAGTCGTCAGCTCCGATGCTCGCGCAAACGTCCTGCCTTGTTTCGCAAAGCATTCGTCTACGATTGCGGTTGCTGGTTGGATCTTGCTGGCGCATCTCTGCGGCCGCACTGGCGCGCGCCTGCTCACGCGCAGATCGGCCAGCTGGTTTGGCACAAATAATGCGGCCGCGATAGCGCTTACTGATGGGAACTTCCCAGCACGTCTGAGAGGCCGCGCTGGCGCGTGGGCACTTCAGTGCGGGTCGGTGAGTCCAGTGGGCGCGATATCACGGTGACGTCGGCAATGGCGACGACGTCGACAATGACGACGAGGACGGCGGCGATGATGATCCTGACCTGACGATGGTGATGCTTCTGATGATGATGATGATGATGGTGGTGGTGGTATTAGTGGTGATTCTGGTGATGATTCTGAGGTTAATGGCGATGGCGCCGACGATGAGGATAACGATGGCGTTGATGAGGATGATGAGAAAGTGCGCGCCCTCAGAAATCAAGGCATCTTGACATGATCTCGACGTACTCGCGCCGAACCGTGTGTGTGTGTGTGTGGCCGGCATGCTGTTATTTGACATAGCCCGTGGGCGTACGATTGTGGTTGAACGTTTCCAACATCCGCGCTCGAGTGGCCCGGATGGTATGATTGGGCGGAGTGGCTAAAGAACGCATGTTATTCCTAATATTTCAGCGACTGCGCGCGCTCAGAAGTCTGACACTTTTTGTAGAGCCGCATTTTTCTTGAGTGTGTGTGTGTGTGTGTGTGCTTGTGTTAGCTCTTGATTCTCCCTGTCTTGGCATGGTTAATCTGGTAACCAATCGTTTTTCAGGGATTTGCACGTGCGCGTGCGGAGGCTCGCGCGCGCGCGTGTGGACTTTGAATTTCTCGTTTAGTGATTATTGGGCAATGATGTATTGAGATAAACAAGTGTGCGCCCGTAGTGTTGTCTGACAGGGATGGGGGGAAGTCAAGGCTGGCTGGGCTGTGATTGCGTTTTTGTAGGGAAATGAGCGATGAGGTATTACCACAGGTAGATTGCGATTCCCCAGGGGGGTCCGTTGAGTCTGGGCTCGGGAGGCTGACATAATATGTTTTTTTTTGTTGTTGAAAGGACAATGTTTGTGGTTCAAGCTATGTGGTGCAGGTTATGTGGTGCAAGTTCGGTGGAAGAGGAGCTGTCGAGGCGGTGGCGGCGGAGGCGGAGGCGGATGCGTCGTGGTGTTGTCGTCGTCGCTGGTGTGGGAGAAGATACTTGCGGACCATTACGGGCATGCGTGGTGGGATGTGGCGACAGACAAAGAGGTATGGGAGGATGCGCAGCAGGAATGGCTGATAACCTTTCTCTGAGAGGGCGCGCGTCTAGCATGTTTGCCTTCGGTATCATCAAACACCGCAGTCTTGAGTTCAGATCAACCCAGCTAGGTGATTTCGGCACCAGTGCTGTCTGAAAGCGGCGTAGCAGTAACAGTAACAGTCGGTGGAGTCGTCGACGGCGGCGGTGTCATCGTCGGCTGCGTCGGCGTCGTCTTCGGCGTGGTCTTCGGCGTCGCCGGCGTCGGCGTCGGCGTCGTTGTCGTCGTCGTCGTCGTCGTCGTCGTCATTGTAGGCGTCTTCGTCGTCTTCGTCGTCGTCGTCGTCGTCGGTCGTCTTCGTCGTCGTCGTCGTCGTCGTCGTCGTCGTCGGTCATCGTCGTCGTCGTCGGCGTCGTCGTCGTCGGCGTCGTCGTCGGCGTCGTCGTCGTCGTCGTCGCCGTCGCCGTCGTCGCCGTCGTCGTCGTCGTCGTCGTCGGCTGTGTCGGCGTCGGCGTCGTCGGCGCCGCTTGGTGCCGCCAGGCGCCGCTGACGCCCCGCGGCGCGTACGGCCGGCCGAGGCCCGAGAGGCGGCAGGAGACCGGCCTCGCAGTGGCGCCCTCCCGAGGCTGGGGCCGTCGGCGCCGCCTCCGTCACTGCCGCCGCGGCCAGCGCCAGCGCCGTCGCCGTCGTCGTCGTCGTCGTCGTCGTCGTCGTCGCCGCTGCCGCCGCCGCCGTCGCCGCCGCCATCGCCGTCGCCGCTGCCGGCGGCGCCAGCGTCGGCGTCGTCGTCCTAATTACGTCGTCGTCGCCGTCGCCTTTGTCGCCTGCTTGGTGGAGGAAGAGGAGGGCAACTATAATGATCAAGAGGGCGAGAGGAGGGGGTTCAAGACAGACCCAGGGCCCCCCTCCAAACGCCAAAAATTGTCCGAGTGGGCCCAAAGAAAGCCTTCAGAGGCTCCGTAAACGGTCAGAAAGGGCCCCTAGACGTGCCGAAAACGGTCGACGAAACCGAAGAAGGATACGGATAGGTAAAAAGCAGGCTTTGCCAGTTAGTTTCGGGGCTTCAAAAAGGCCTCCAGGGACCCCCCCTGGCGCGCCCAAGATGGCTCAAGAGGGCGCCCAAACGGCGGCCAGACGGCCCAAGATGGGACCGAGAGGCCTTGGGGACAGCTCAAGAGACCGTGGAGATATTCCAACGTGGCTGGAAAGGCCCCAAGAGTGTCACAAGCGGCTCGAAGAGAGCTCCAAGAGGAGCAAAGGGAAGCCTGGAACGGCTACAATCTTTAACAACTTTTTTTTCAGGCTTTCTTTATTGTTTCCAGAGTTTTTGGGATCTCCTGGTTCTCGGCTCAACATGACTCGAAGAGGACTTCGGAGGGGTCCGAGACGGCACCAGAGGGCAGGCTTCAAAGACTGCCCAGGAGGGCCTCCGGAGAGGCCACAGACGGCGCCCGGGGGCGTGCAGAGGTCCAGAAGGCGTGCGTGAGTTGAGGTTCAGATTGCGGCTATCGGACGCCCAGTCCGCAGCTGGGGCCCCCAGGCCAGCCGAGTGATCAGGCCGCGGGGAGGATCCTCTGATGCGTTTCGAGGGCTGTTTGGAAGGATATGGGCACGAGGAGTATGTCAGATGACTGAGGGGAATGAGTCCTTGCAGACCATGCGGCGGGGATCTCACACGCCGTATCCGGTGGGGCGGCGGATCGCTTCGCTCATTCCGCCGGCCCATATTGCATCACTGTTGCTCTGTTGGCGTGCTCTTGCAGAGCGAGAAGGAGGAGGAGGAGGAGGAGGATGAGGAAGAGGAGGAGGAGGAGGAGGAGGAGGGGGAGGAGGGGGAGGGGGAGGGGGGAGGGGGAGGGAGGGGGAGGGGAGGAGGGGAGGAGGAGGAGGAGGAGGAGGAGGAGGGGAGGAGGAGGGGAGGAGGAGGCCTCTCGATGGCTTCTTGTGGTACTCTTGAGGCCAAAGTGGGTCGTGGACAAGACGTCTCTTTGGGAGGCGTCTTGGGGTCTCTTGGGGGGCCTATTGGGGGCCTCTTGGCGACATTTTGGGACCTCCTGGACTCCTGGAGCTTCTTTGGTGCCTGCTGGGGGAGGACTTTGGGCCTCCGGGGGCCTCCCTCTTGGGGACCTGCTGGCTGTCTCGGGGGCCATCTTGTGGGAAAGAGCTCGATCTGTCAGCTCGGATTCCCCCCTTGGGGCCCTCTGGGGCGACTGGAGCCATCTTGAGAGGCCTCTTGTACCAACTTGGGGCACTCTTGGGTCGTCCTGGGGCCGTCCTGGGACCTTCGTGGGCTTCTTTGCGGCGGTCTTGGGGGCTTCTTGGGCCATTCTGGGCAGTCGGAAGCCCGAAAAGGCGGTGACGCCCAAATCTTTCAATAATCATAAGACAATAATCGTTTCTGGCTCTCTGGTCCTTCTTGGGGGTCCTTTTGAACCGCCGTTGGGGCTTTGGGGTCTCTTGGATTGTGAAGGAACTATCTTGGCCGTCCTGGAGCGCTCTTAGACTGTCTCGGACACCCTTGGGCTCTCCTGCAGGCTTCGATTAAAAAAGGCACCTGGAGCGCCCGTGGGAGCCCCAAGGGCGCCGCACAGAAGACAAACACATCCCTGTGCCAGGGGTGGCCCGGCTGCGCCCGGGATACTTTTCGCCCAGGGATCCTCAGGGGCCACTGCGCGCGTGCGCGAACTAGAAGCATTGTTAACCTGTGTTGCTGGAGATCTTAGAACGCTTTTGGTCCGTTGGGCCAGCGCGCAAATCTCGGGGGCAGAAAGGAGGGGGGTGATGACTAGGGGGGGTGGATATCATGGCGGGGCCATGATATCTCCCCAGATTTCACGGCGCCTCTTCTTGTTTCAATGCGTCCCTGGCCCCCCCGCTTTGCTTTGCCGCGCACGGGCCGCAGGCCATGATTTGCACCCCCCCTCTTGGACGCCCCCCCCTCTTTGCCGCCCCCGAAAATCCTTCTCCTCCTCATCCTGAGGATCCTCCCTCCCTTCTCCTCCTCCCGCTCCTGCCCCTCACGCGCGCAGCGTGCAGGGGGCAAGGAGGTTTACTATAAACGGAGGAGGCGAAGGAGGAGGAGAAGGAGGAGGAGAAGGAGGAGGAGGAGGAGGTCCACTGTAAACCCAAGACGTATCAGTTGTTGCAATCAGCTCTCTCTCTCTCTGTCTCTCTCTCTCTCTCTCTCTCCATGCTCCGTCTTCATAGGTCCCTACACATTAACTTTCATTGCAGGAAGTGCCCAACTTGAAAACAACCGTTTGAGAATCCTCAATCGTGCCAAAACACCATGTCTGCCTGGTACTTGATTCAATGCGGCGAATCTATCATATTGTTGCGTCCTGACAATCATATATCGCGCAAGCACGACATTCCTTGGAATTCAACTTTGCGAAGCAACGTTACGGCACCGTCCTGGCCATCCTAAATCGCGCAAGAGCGCCGTTCCTGGGACTGACTTCGTCATATTCTTTCAACATGTTGCAAACTTTAAAGGCGAATGCGCGCGACGCTAAGGCGAGGGCAACATTATGAAAAGCAGCCGCCCTCGATGTATGAACGTGCTGCGAACTTTAAACAAGAAATTGCGCGGTGACCAGGCGAGGGCAACATTTTGAAAAGGAGCTGCTCTCCATCCTTGAAACAGCTGCAAACTTTCAAGACGAATGTGCGCGGTGCCAACATCTTGAAAACGACCCGCCCTCCAGCTTTCAAGCTGATGCAAAGTTTTCAGACGCATGTGCGCGGCGCGAAGGCGAGGGCCACATTTCGAACACGACCTGCCCTCCATCCTTGAAGCTGTTGCAAGCTGTGAAGACGAATGTGCGCGGCGCGAAGGCGAGAGGCACATTTTGAAAACGACCAGCCCTCTATCTTTGAAGCTGTTGCAAATATCAGGCGCCCAGTCCGCCCTACCAACTCGCTTGGGTATGCGACAGGGAGGAGTTTCTGAAAAAGAAGGGATGGAGGAGGAGGAGGCGGAGGAGGTTATGAAGGAGGAGGAGGAGGAGGAGGAGGAGGAGGAGGAGGGGGGGGAGGAGGAGGAGGGAGGATCGAAGAAAAGAGGGAGAAACAGGAGGAGGACCAGTGTAAACCCAAAACGCATCAACGATGTTACAATAAACCATCCCTCCAAGTTCCTTCTTCATAGGTGCCTACAAGAAACTTCTGTTCATTGCGGGCAGTGCCCCGTTGGAATCGTGCTGTCATTCCTGGTATTTTTCTAACGGTACGAATGAACTTGACTGTTGCGTCCTGACAGTCCTAAATCGTGCCCGCACACCGTTCCTCGGATTTCAACACCGCGAGTCAAAGATACAGTTGCGTCCTGGCAATCCTCATTCGTGCCAAGAACACTATTCCTGGGACTTAATGCAGCCACACGATTCCTGTCAGCTCTTTTAAGCTTTGAAGGGGAATTTGCTCGGCGCTGAGGCGAGGGCAACATTTTGCAAAGAAACCGCCTTCCATTTTCGACATTGTTGCGAACTTTCAAGACGAAAGTGATTTGCGCTGAGGCGGAAACCACATTCTGAAAACGACCCGCCCTCCATCCTTGAAGCTGGTGTACACATTCAAGACGAATGTGCGCGGCGCTAAGGCGAGGGCAACACGTTGAAAAGGAGTTGCCCTCCATCTTTGAAACGGCTGCAAACATTTGCGACGAATGCGCGCTGCGCTGAGGCGAGAGCAACATCTTGAAAAAGGAGCCACCACCATTTTCGAGTCTGCTGCGGTCTTGTAAGGCGAATGTGCGCAGCGCTACAGCGAGAGCCACATATTGGAGACGACCTGTGTTTCATCCTCGAAGCTGTTGTAATTTTCCAGCTTCGGGATCATACAGGTGCGGACGCCTCAAGCGAAACACCCGGCCCACCTTACCAGCACGTCTCGGGATGCGACAGGGGAGAGTTATTTAAAAGGAAAGGGGTGGAGAATGAGGATGAGGACGACGACGACGACGACGACGACGACGACGACGACGACGACGACGACGACGACGACGACGACGACGACGACGACGACGACGACGACGACGACGACGACGACGATGATGATGATGATGATGATGATGATGATGATGATGATGATGATGATGATGATGATGATGATGATGCTGATGATGCTGATGATGCTGATGATGCTGATGATGCTGATGCTGATGCTGCTGCTGCTGATGATGATGATGATGATGATGATGATGGTGGTGATGATGATGATGACGATGATGATGATGATGATGATGATGATGGTGGTGGTGGTGGTGGTGGTGATGGTGATTATGATTCTGGTGCTGGCGAGGAGGAGAAGGAGGAGGAGGAGGAGGAGGCGGAGGATGAGGAGGAGGTCCTGCTTCCCTTTTAGATTTGGGGTGTAGGAAGTCATCAGCAAGCCCGGGGACGGCACACGACTCATATGTCTCATGGACCTTCTATGATGATCAAACTCAATTGATCATGTAGTGGCTTACGGCCCATCCTGTCATCGTGCGTTGGGCGTAGACAAAGGGCTTCTCGGATATCTCTTGGGGTCCTCTCCTCTTGGGGCCCTCTCGGGGGCGTCTTGGGGGCTTCCTACTCCTGGGGGCCTCTTAGGGTGCTCCTGGAGGCCTCCTGCGAACTCATG